ATAAATATGCATAAATAATTCAATACATTTTAAAGCCAGTCAGGCTATATTATCCACTTAAGAATGGAGATAAAATCTGTTTGTATTCTACATTAAGCTATGTACATGATGTTTTCTAAGATTGCACAAGTTTATTTAAACAAACAGTATGTTTGCAAAATGTATACTACGGGACAAATTTTAATACAATTCTATTATAATCATTATTTGTACAGATACAGCTCATTTATATATGAGTTGCATTCTTGAAAATGTGTGTATAAACAAATATTTGAAAACTGAATCACACTGTAAAGATTTTGGCAAGCCTTAATACTAAAAGGAATGAGATACTTTTACAAAGTAAACAATCAACACTATTTTATACGTGCAAAGTACAATTTTCAAATATCTGATGTGCTTATTTCACTAAATGCAGTTGATTCCAAACTCACTTATTTCATCAATATTTAATGAAAGCAATTAGTACTAGTAGAATTACATTCTCATGAACCTGAATGACTTTTGCAGCATTCACACTACCATTGCTTTATAGGAAAGGAGATATTAGTTGTAAGATATGCAGTAGAAAGTCAGAGCTCCCCACTTCTTCCCGGACCTACTAATTACGCAACTGTTCACTATTCAATGGTGTGCCCTTCAGTTCTTGTTGAAAGCACTCTTTATAACTATTCCTTCCTCAGCCAAAGGGACAAATATTTCACAAAATCTCTAAAAATATAAAAATGAATGCCGTTAGAACTGAAGTCACAAAGTTACACAAATGACATTTCTTATGTCTTTGTTTAGTGAATGTAGACATATTTGGATAGAGGCTAAAGAAAGCAACAGTTTTGTTTTGTTTTGCTGCTCCCCCCCTTTTATTTACTTTTAATTAACAAAATTAAAAAGCAAAATTACTATTTATCATTTAGTGGGGCATAAGATAACCTTATTTCTCATATGCCAAACAAAGGCATTAGTTAAAATAATATTTTATCCACCCAACAAAAATATTTGATGAGTTTCTTAGGAACAGCCATAATATATAAATAAAATTTGATTTTAATAAAGGATTTTATTTAGTTGGTAACTAATCTACAATAGCATTTTTCTGATATTATTTCAATGAATACTCATAATAAAAATCATATAGCCTATGTAATCAAATTGTTCTGAAGGCTTCCTTCTGGTCATTTAAATTTTTTAGTAGAATAGATGACAAAGATGAAAAGCAGAAAATGGAGGCAGCTGGTACAAAAAAAGGTGGTGTTAAGAAGAGAAAAAAGGGTTACGAGAACTTCCGTTCAGGTACAAAGATGGAGGAAGGGAAAAATACAGCCTCAAAAAAATATCCAAATAACCTCCCACTTACCACCCATTAGGTGCTATTTCATCAAGACAGAATCATGAGTCCAGCCCACAATCCATCTTACTACTTATCACATCTTAAAGAGATTTCTAAAAACTCATCTAAAGCACAAAAAACATCTGAATAAGCTATGCGCTTAAATAGAAGGGCAAACTGATGGATTCAGTCCTGAAACAGAAGGCAACACCTCTAGGACTCTAGAACAGGTATTCATATATACATGTGTCATTCATTTTGTGAAGCAAATTTTATATTCTAACAAATTCACGCCGCAAAAATGAGATTTTTACTTTAGCGAACACAAAATTCAAACCATGGAGAGAGAGTAGGATATAATAGCCTGAGGATTAAAGAGCCACCCAGTTTTCATTATTGACCTACTGCATGGCTCATTACACAAGTCAAACTAATAGAGTCCTCATTTATTAGACTAGAGAGCTCTACAGATTCCATAATACTATGGGGTCTTTGAACAAATATGATACCAATGTGTAAGTCCTTCCTTTTCTTTTCTTTCTTTCTTTCTTTTTTTTTTTTTTTTTTAAACCAACCATTTATCACTCCTCATGGTCAATGGGACAATTGGGAAATTCTGCTGTTCTGGGTCAGAGTTCATTGTTCTTAGTTGGATTCCTTCATACATCTGTGGTCAGCTGGCAGGTCAGATGAGGACTAGCTTGTTCAGGATGGCCTCAGCTAGAACGGCTCAACCGTCTTCCATGTGTCAGTTACATTCCACCAGCAAGTTAACTTGGGAATGCTTAGGGCATGTTTTCAGAGTGATTACAGAGAAGCAAGAACAGAAACACACAGGCACTTTTTCAAGCTCTAATTGTTTCTAACTTGCTAACTTTTTTTTCTTGCTGGCTTATCTTTTATTAATGGTGGTAAAATATATATAACATAAAATTTACCATTTTAAATGTACAGCTCAGTAGTATTAAATATTTTCACATTGTTGAACAGTCATCAACACTATCCATCTCCAGAACTTTTTTGAACTTGAAATTCTGAAACTCTATACCTATTATATTAAACACTAACACCTCATTCCCGTCTTCACCCCAGACCCTGGCAACCAGTATTCTACTTTTTGTCTCTATAAATTTCTCTATTCCAAGTACCTCATGTAATGGAATCATACAGTATCTGCCCTTTTGTGACTGGCTTATTTCAGTTAGCATACATCCGCAAGTTGTTCATGTTGTAGCATATGTTAGAGCTTCTTTCCTTTTCAAGGCTGAATAATATTACATTGTACGTATGTTCCATATTTTCTTTATTCATTTATCTGTTGATGGACATCTGGGTTGTTTCTATCTCTTGGCTGTTGTATGTCATGCTGCTACAAATGTGAACATGGGTGTAAGATTATCTGTTCTTATCCCTACTCTCAATTCTTTTTAATCTTTTGAGAAATTACCATACTGTTTTACATATAAGCTGCAGTATCATACATTTGCACTGGCAGGCACAAGGGTTCCAATTCTCCACATCCTTGCCAACACTTGTTATTTTCTGGGTTTGTTTTTGTTAAAAATCTTCCTAATGGTTGTGAAGTGGTAGCTTATTGTGATTTTGATTTACATTTCCCTAATCATTAGTGATGTTCATTTTCATTTCATTGGCCACTTATGTATCTTCTTTGGAAAAATGTCTATCAAGGTCTTTACCAATTTTTGAATATTTGTTGTTAAGTTTTAGGAATATCTATCTAGTCTTGATATTAACCCCTTATTAGACATGTGATCCACAAATAAGGCTTTTCTCTGCAAATTAAAACTCTTTTAGAGTTCAATAAGTAGATATAGAAACTGGTACAATTTCTTAGCTCTAAGCACTATACCAGGCACCAGAGATACAGATATTAACAAAACAAAATATTTGTATTCAATGATTTTGCTTAATAGGGAACACAGAGAAAAAAAGGTAAAATTATAAGAAATTAAGAAATGTGTGATAACAAGGATATGGAAAGTACCCTGGGAGTTCAAATTTCTATGTAAAGGGAAGAGCAACAACAAAGTAAAGGAAAGAGCAACAGCAAAAGCACAAAAGGTAGATATGAGATATTACAAGATCATTTGATATAGCAAAGATGGGGACAGAGACAGAAGATGTGGTAATAAAACAGACAATGGCTAGATCCTAAGCACTATTGTTTGTCATGAGGAAAATGTCATTTTGACATCACTGGTGACTACTGTGATTGTCTGGACTGTGTGAAGAAGATCATATCCTGTGGATAGAGAGAAGGAATTACCCCTGAACATCTTCCAGGAACGAGTAAATAAGAGAACATACTCTTAGAGTCCCTGGGCTCTAAGTGAAGTAAGCTGGATATGGTGAGTGAACTTTTATTTCTCATGTTGGCATCTGCAATGATCCTCTGGCTGAGACTGCGAATCACTGAGAAGCTTGCATTTCTCGTATGATTAGTATTCAGCAGAGCTTTATATAAATACTTACCTGTGGCCTAACATGGATATAGAATTAAGAAAAAGTACTGTGTATATCCTTGAAAAAAGTTAGTACTAACAGCAAGAAATCTGGTGTTTTGAGAATGTATGAGTGACCTACAGGAATAAGAGAGCAATACTGGGTCAGACTACAGACAGGGAAGAAGCAACAAAGAGTCTCCTGGTCAAAGATGAAGAAGACATAAACATTTGTTAGCTGCTCTTAGAAATTACTAAGGAAAGAAGCTTTAGGAAAAAGACAGGATGTTCTGCTTACCTAAAAAATGAGGGTAGAGACTTTGTACTCAGACATTAAAGGAAATGTGACTCAAAATATAAACTGGAGGAATCAGTTTGAACTCATGATGTATTTTATCCTAAATGTTTTCCTAGCCTCCTCTGAAAAAGGGATAGAAATAAATACAAATTCAGTAGCAATAAGCAGAATAGACCAAACTGTGATCTCCAGTTATTACTTCCCACTAAAAGAGGTCCCACCAGGGCTCCTCAAAGAAATAGATGATTCTACATCTGGGCCAGAAATGGGTCAAGACTAGAGTGCCTTATCATTATCAAAGAGCATGAAAGTTATCAGACTACAAACATGTGTCAAAATGTCCTAGAAGTAACTTCAAGAAGCTACAAGTGGTCAAAGAAAGAACAACTGAACATCAATAAATAACTGCAATGGAGGGAAACATCAAATACATTGAAATCTATGAGTTTATAAAGATACTTTTAAAATAGTCAGTTGGGTACCATTGGAGACTGCTAGGAATCAACTAAATATTTTGAAAACTGATATGTAAAGAGAAAGAATTAAAGTTCTATCCTGTCTTTCCTCTGCAAGGAAAGACAGAGGATACCTTAATAGTAGACGAGAGGATGTGTCTTTTTATAAAATGAGTCCCATAAATAAATGAAATAAAAGTGACATTTTCAATACCACAATTTTGCAATGCTTACTAAATTAATGAATCCATGCACTGAATATCAGTGCTAACATCACAAAAGAGAAGTAGTGTTTATCATGCATATTAAATTTTTCCACTTGAAAATATATTTGAGATAATTTTATTAAAGTTACAATTATATTTGAAATTTTTTAAGTTATGTAAAATAACTAAAGACAATCCAATTCATTTTTATATGCAAGACAATTATATTTCAGATGATTACTGAGACATTACCTTGGACAAATCTCTGAAGTTGGTGGGCAAGGTAAGATCCAGTTCTTCTGATTCATAATTAGTGATGACCCAAGGAAACACTGGATACTGATTTAAGTCATTATAACTCCGTCCTGGTAAGGAAAAAAGTTACTCTTAATTTATAATTTAAAAAATGAAATAATAAACAGATTCAGTAATATAGTTTACTAAAAATAAGATTAACAATTTTTGATTTTCAGACATTGTTCTTAGTATCCATACCTTACCTCATTTAATCCTCACAACAATCCTATGAACTTAGTATCATTTCCATTTTACAGATGAAAAAGCTGAGTCACAAAAGGTTAAGTAACTTGCCCCAAATCAGACAACTAATACTGGTCAATCCATATTCAAATCTAGATCCTCTGGTCCTAAAGTCTGTGTTCTTTTAAACCACATTCGACAATTTTTTATTACTTGAAGCCTGCTCAAAATAAAATATTCTTTTTTAAGACTTTAAAAAGCAATTTGTAATTCTCGCAGTTTTTCAAAACAAGAATCCTTTCTCTGCCACTGATCAACCAACCAACCAACTAACCAACCAAGTTTAAATGACTTAGCCCTGGTGGACATTCACCAGTCATCTGTATAATGAGAGCATTGCACTAAATAACTGAAATTTCTGTGGCAGTTTTCAAATCCTATAATCCTCTGAAAACATGCAGTATTATCAATGTTGCTTCCTTATATGCCCAAATGCAGCTACATGCTCTTCTATACTTCTTTCTAATGATATTCAATGACATATTTAAATTTATTAAAAATAAAAATTATAGCAAAAGAGGAGGCAGTCCTTCTACATATGTACAGCAGGTTTTTGGATGTTACCATTTTAGGAAGGTAGCATAGGGGATGAAATCTTTGTTTCTGGTGTTTGAATCCCAGTTCCTATTTACTAGTGTATACATATTTTTAGTCAGATACATGAACAGACTTTTATGGCTAAAATAAAAGTCAGACAAGTGTATTAATATTGTTTGAATTCCTTTCTTATTATATATTCTATCATTTCCATTCCTTTTTCTTTCTCAAATATATGCTGATGTCATATCAATATATAGCTGAATATTAAAGTAGTTCTCTACACATACACTTGGTATCTAAGCCGTTTTTATGTTTGGATGTTTTTAACTTTTTATTTTACTCTATTCATCTTGAGCTTGAGGCCTATTAGGGTAACAGAGTTTTTTTTTGACTGACCTGGGACAGTCTCATAAAACATTATAACAAGGACAATTTTAATTCATAGGTCACTAATGTCACTACATATTTCTATCAATAGTTTTAATTTCTCCATAAAAAAATAACCAACACAGCAGCAGAAAAAACTTTTATGATTGCCCTTTGCTTTCTCACTTCCTTCTGATTTAAACGTTTATAAACAGTAAAATCATCTTGTCCCATCTACTTAAATAATCATAAATGTTTATTGTACCTAAAAAATGAAAAATATATACCTGCTCAGTGTGATAATACTTTTAATTAAGTTAAACTACACAGTTAGTGAATATCAACTGGAGGCCATTTGGGAAATCCATCATGGTATCATGAAAACCTATACGCAGCACAGATAATAATGTAAAAGAAATCTTAAATAACATGAAACTTAATTCCACCCTCTAATGCACATTTAAAAAATTCAAAGCAAATGATTGATTCTATATTTACAAAAAATATACAGGGAATATACTTAAAAGATACTGCAGACATAATAAAAGCTATTTGAGAAGAAATCATTTCATAAATGTTGCTCTATAATCATAACTGCACATTCAGTATGGGTTAATTGACTTACTACATGCAAAACATGTCCATTAAACTTGTTATATAAATTTCCTGTCTCTCACTACTACTTAAAAATTCTTTTGGTCACTAGTTCTACAATTTCTACTAGATTCATCATAACTTTGGACATTTTCTTCATTCCTTTTCCTTAGCCGACTGTGAGATGTACTTCTAATAAAATTTAGAACTTTCAGTGTGAGCCCCTCAATTCCAATTCTTCACAACACTCCCTCACTCCTTTCCACTTCTCTAATAGGGTCTTTTCTTTGCTAAGAGTAATTCTTTCACCTGAGTTCTCAAACCTGTCTCCCTCATAACTTCAATTGTTACTCTTCCAGTCTCCCCCTCTTTCATTATTTCTCCTCTCTACCCCAAAACATCCTCTCTTTAATAACACATTTAAAAGAACTTTAATTACATCTACAGTTCCAGTTTCATTTCAAACCATTCAGCCCTTATAATCAACCATTTCTGCTTGCCTTAAAAATGAACCTCTATGAAGTAATTAGGAAGCCCCTAAATACCAAACTAAAAACATGTTCTGTCCTCATTCTGAAGTCTCCCTCTCCACACTGTAACATTTGACACAGGTGAAAATGCCTCCCTCCCTTTTACCTTGCTTCTCTAGACATCTGACTTACCTCAGTTCTCCTACTATGTCTACAAATTCTAGGATTACTCATTCCTATTTGTCCTTTACTAACTCTACTTCTCTCTTCTTCTCACGCACAAGAGCATTTCCCTGTCTTATCTCACTGCTTTCTGCATTATCTTCCTTGCTGATCTCATCTCTCTCCATGATTTCCTTTCTATGCAGCTGAAATCCAATGTTCTAGCTCTAAGTTCTGAATATCCTCTTGCCCCATTCTTCCAAAAACTCTGATACCTTAATTTGAAAGTCTTGCTGACGCAGTAAAATTGTCATCTTTCCCCAGATCAAATTTTCTGACTTATTTTTCTGTTAATTGCACCACCATTTTCCCAATAACATAGGCCAGAAGCCTGGAAGTCTTTTCAGGTACTTCTTCCCATTTACTGCCTATATTAAGTCAGCTGCGTATCAAATGGTTGGTGCCTTGTCAATTCTTACAGAACTTGTTCCTTCTTTTTAATTCCCACCAATACCTAATGCAAGCCCTCATTACTTGCTCTCTCTCTCTCTACTTACCACACACGCACGCGCGCACACACACACACACACACACACACACACTTACTTCCTAACTCTACTTTCTGTCTAGTCTCTATCCAACCAAATTTACCTTACACACACTGCCTGCAAGTTAATTTTTGATACAGCTTGAATGTCACTTAGGTGCTCAAAAAGTTTCAACAGTTTCCCGATGAATTGACTGCCAACTCCTCAAACTGACAAGAAAATCTTACACGATATGTCTTTACACTAATATTTTTGTTTTTTCACATTATATCTTTATGAATGTATACTTCATGCACACACAAACATACAGTATATACATAGATATACAAACTATACTAGTCATTGATCTCTAGGTATACTTTATATTTTCCCTTCTTTGTATGTTTGCTTATGCTTTCCATCTTACAAAGAATGACTTCTAACATGCCAACCATCTCCTCTGCTAGTCAAATAGTATCCATCCTTATACAACCACTGAAACCTTATTTTCTCTTTACTTCCAACAACTGGGTAAATATAGTTTCCCTTTCTCCGTGTGCTTTTAATCAGCACAGTACTCTGGATTTCTTTTACTGAATCTATATCCCCATGCTCTAGAATCATGTAAATATTTATTGAAATTAATAATTTATTGTTTGAAACAAATTAATGTATAGAGTTAGGTTACCTGCTATCGTGTTGAGAAACATCAAGTACTCAAAATTAGAAATCTCTCTGTGTTGCCATCGCTGGGTCATATTAGAAGCTTTAAAAAGTTGTCGTGGACTAGCTAATGAAATACGTCTGCAAGAAAAAGAATTCAATGTGGACTCCATCTTAGGATTAATTATATCACAGTAATAAATCATGAATTATCTGTGCTTATTCATTCATAATAAAATCTATAATTCTGAAAAGTTCTATTCACATTAGATTAATAAATACTAGAGAGGTTCCAATCTACAATTCATGGTTGAACAAATGATTTAGACTAGTCACATCTATTATACATGTTCTATTCATTCAGATAAGCTGTCATTACAGTGCCATTATAATGTACAGGTTTGATAAAAGTTGATTAATAACAGTATAATTAATAATTCACTGCTTCACTGATATAAAAAGAAGAAATTATAGTAGCTGGGAAGTGCATATAAAATTCTATCGACATGTCTTTATTAATTGTAATAGTTATCTTAGAACACACTTTTACGTTATAAATTTAAATATTATATTTGCATACACTGTAATAAAGAGAAGGGAGATTCTAAACTCTTTAGGTGTCTGTTCATGGGTTAAATAAAGAGACATTTTTTAATATAGCTCAACAGAAGACAAATTTTCCTGTGGCCTCCTAATGAAATGTAAACATCAGTGAATAGAACTGATCAATACAAAGAGCCACAGGAAATATATAACAGAATTAATTATTACATTCAAAGCCTAGAATCTCAGAGAAATATGCTGTCACAGTTCTTTCTACCACAAACAACAAGGTAATTATTTTGTAAAAGGTTCTCTGAAGTATAATTTACATGCCATAAAATTAATCCAATTTGCATAATTCGGTAATTTTAAAAAGTTTTGAGTTGTGCAATTATCACAATTCACTTTAGAACATTTTCATCATTGCTTCTCAGCCTTTTGGCTAAAATCAAGTGTAGAACATTTTCATCACCACAAAAATTTGCCTTGGGCCTATTTACAGATAATCTTCATTCCCAGCCCCACCTACAGGGAACTAGCAATCTACTCTGTGTCTCTAGAAAGCCCACCTTTTTTAGACACTTCAGATCAATGGAATCATTACATTATGTAGTCTTTTGGGTCAGGTTTATTTCACTAAGCATAATGTCTTTGAGGTTTATCAATATAGTAGCATGTATCCAATGTTCCTTCCTTTTTATTGCTGACTAGTATCCCACTGTGTATAAAATATAGCACATTTTGTTTATCTAGTTGATGGACATTTAAATTAACAGTTTTTGCTATTATAAATAATGCTACCATGAACATTCGTGTATATATCTTTATATGAAAATATGTTTTCATTTCTTTTGGGTAGATTTCTAGCAGTGGAATTGCTAGGTTGTATATTGATTTTATCTTTAATTTTTTGAGAAACTGCCAAATTGTTTTCCAAGGTGGTTATACCATTATATGTTCCAATCAGCAATGTATAAATGAATCTCCACAGCCTTGTCAATACTTGCTCTTGTGTGTATCTTTATTCTGACCATTCTAGTTAGTGTAAAATAATAATTTTAATGTTTGTTGTTGAGGATCTTTTCATGTGCTTACTGGTCATCTGCATATCTTCTTTGGTGAAATGACTAATCAAATCTTTACTCATTTATTAATTGAGTTGTTTCCATTTTATCACTGAGTTGTTAGAATTCTATATACATTCTGGATACAAGTCTGTGACAGTTAATTTTACGCGTCAACCTGACTGGATTAAGTGGCCTTAGAGAGCTGGTAAAACAGGATTTCTGGGTATATCTGTGATGGTGTCACCAGAGAGATTAGTACTTGAACCAGTAGGATTAGGAATGCAGAATGCTCTCTACAGTGTGGTGAGCATCGCCCAGTCAATTGAGGACGGAATACAATGAAAAGGAGGAAGGGTGAATTCCATCTTCTCCTCAAACTGGGAAATCTACATTCTCCTCTCCTTGGCTAGCAGGAGCTGTTGGTTCTCTGTCTTTGAATTCTTCACCTATCCCTCTCTCCTCAGGCCTTGGGCTCAGTCATGGGTTCCCTTGGCCTTCACATTAGGATTGAATTATACCAGGCATATCACGAGATTTTCAGCCTCCATGGTCATATGAGCCAATTGCTATAATAAATCCCCACTTATATATCTATACATATCCTATTGGTTTTGTTTCTCTGGAGAGTACAGACTAATAAAAACTGCTTTACCAGACATATATATATATATATATATATATATATATATACACACACACACACACACATACGTACATAAATGTTTTATCAGTCTGTGGCTAGTCCCTTCATTTACTTAGTAGTCAATTTTGAAACACAAAAGTTTTAAATTCTGGTAAAGTCCAATTTCTCTATCTTTTCTTTTATGGATTATGCTTTTAGTGTCACATCTGAGAAGTGCTTGCCCTTCCCAACATCAGAAAGTTTTTCTCCTATGTCTTCTTTCAGATATTTTATAGTTTTACTTCTCACATATAGGTCTATAATATATCTTGAGGGTTTTTTTTTTGTTTGTTTGTTTTGTTTTTTTTTTTTTTTTGACTGGTCTGTGGTAAGCATCCAAAATTTCTTGTATGTGAACATCCAATTTTCTCTACCAATTGTTTGAAGTCTTCCTTTTCCCATTGAATTGTGTTGACGCCTTTGCTGCAAAACAGTTGACCAGACATCCAAGGATTTATTTCTGTATTGTCAATTCTCTTCCTTTAATTTATATGCTTATCTTTGTACAATTACCACAATTGAGGACTGGGTACAACAAAAAGGAGGAAGGGTGAATCCCCTCAGATCTTGATAACTGTGGCTCTACAGTAAGTTTCTTTATGTGTTATAGATCTATTCAGATTTTCTATTTTCTATAAATCTATTCAGATTTACTTGTCAAATCAAGTAAGGTGCGTCTTCCAATCTTGTTCTTATGTTTCAAAATTGTTTTGGCTATTCTAGATCCATTGAATTTCAACTTCCCAATTTCTCCAAAAAAAGTCTCTTATGAATTTAATAGGGATATATTGAATTTATAAATCTAGGGAGAACTACCTTATTAACTATATTGAATCTTTTGATCCATGAACATGAAATGTCTCCAATCATTAAGATCCATTTTTAATTCCTCTTAAAAAATGTTTTTATACTTTTCATTGTACAATCTTACATTTCTGTGATCTGCAAGGAGGGCTATTTTGTTCTTCATTTTCAGTACAGATACATTTAATTCTCCCTTCCTTTCTTCCTTCCTTGTTGCACAAGCTAACATCTCCAATGTAACATTGAAAAGAAGTGTTAAGAATGGAGGACATTTTTACCTTCCTAAACTTGGGGGAAAAGTATTCAGTCTTTCAATGTTAAGTATGATATATGTTTTGGACATTTTTTGGTAGATGATTTTTGTCAGTTTGTGGAAATTTCTTTAGTTGAAAGTTAGTTGAGAGTTTTTAATCATGAATGTGTGTTGGATTTTGTCAAATGCTTTTTTTCTGAAATGATAGTAAGGTTTTTCTCCTTTACTCTATAAATGCTGGTGCACAAACTGATTTTCAGAATTAAATTAACCAGCATTCCAGTGATAAAACCCACGTGAACATTTTATACATCCTTTTGATATACTGCTGAATTTGGTGTGCTAAATTTTGTTAAAAAAAATTGTGTCAGTGTTGAGGAGGGAAATTGGCCTATAGCATTTCTCTTGTTAGTTTTCTTGTGACGTCTTTGCCTGGCAATGGTATTGGGGTCACTGACTTTATAGAATGAGTTGCAAGTGTTTTCTCCGCTCCTATCTTCTGGATGAGTTTGTGAGTTATATAATTTCTAATATAAATATTTGATTGCACTAGATAATAAAGATATATGGGTCTAGGCTTTTCTTTATGGAAAGATTTTTAAATTAATATTTCATTTTCTTTATGTGTTATAGATCTATTCAGATTTTCAATTTCTTCTTGAGCCAGTTTTGGCAATTCTGTTTTTCTAAGAATTTGTCCAGATCATTTAAGTATCTAATTTGTTGGCATGAAGTTGTTCATGGTATTCCTTTCTATTCCTTTTAATTTCTGTATGTTCTGACTGGGGTTGGTGGTTCACACCTGTAATCTTAGCACTTTAAAGGGTGGGCTAAGGCAGGAGGATCACCTGCGCCCAAGTTCAGACCAGTCTGAACAACAGAGGAAGACCCTATCTCTACCAAAATACACACATGCGTGCGCGCGTGCGCGCGCGCGCACACACACACACACACACGCACACGCACACGCACGCGCGCACACACACACACACACACACACACACAGGCCAGGCATGGTGGCATGTGCCTGTAGTCCCAGCTACTCAGGAGGCTGAGGTGGGAGAACGGCTTGAGCCCAGCAGTTTGAGACTGCAGTGGGCTATAGCTGTGCCACTGCACTCCAGCCAGGGCAAAAGGGCAAGATCCTGTCTCTATGAGAAAAGAAAAATGAAAAGGAGGAAAAAAAGATTCTATATGCTCAATAGTCATGTCTCTACTTTCACTTCTAATTTAAGTAATTTGTGTCATCTCTTTTTCATGCTTAGGTTAAACCCTGTCAATTTTACTAATCTTTGCAAAGAATCAACTTTTGTTTCATTGATATTTTTTAGTGTTTTGTTTTATGTTTCATTGATTTTTGTTATACTCTTCATTACTCATTTTTTTCTACTTGCTTTGCATTTAGTTTCCTCTCTTTTATTGTCTAAAAGTAGAAGCATAGGTTATTGATCTGAGGAATTTATTTTAGATATGGGTGTTTAAAGCTGTAAATTTTCACCTAATACTACTTAAGCTGCATCTCATAAATTTTAATATGTTATACCTCTGCAGGATATAGGCATCCAAATTAGTATGCTTCTCAGTCCCATGGGAAGAAGAGTTGCTGGTCACAGAAGTAACCAAAAGCACTAATAGCTGCATGGCAGAGACATGACAGAATGTGTGAGGGCAAAAAGAAAGGTGCTCCCAAGCCCAGGCACTCACTCTCTAGGTTCTAGGAGGTATATAGAGGATGAAGTGGTGCAGACCATGGAGCACGGAATCAAAAAAATGAGGTCCCTCCACAACCACA